CGCGCTCCGAGGAGAGCTGGGCTCCGCGCGGGAGCCCCTGGCCTGCGGAGGGGGCTGCGGTTACGCTGCAACTGCCCAGAGAGCGGTGACCGCTGACCGTTCGGGTGTAAGAAAACCAGACTTAATTTTGCCCAGATGCTGCCGCTGGCACAGCGGGCGCCGGCCCCGGGCAGCAGCGGTGCAGCAGCTGGCACCGCCGCACACCATGGGGTCGGAGATCGGGTGCAGTACGGGAGAGTAAAAGCCTTTGATGAGGGGGTTGTGACAATGAAAATCGTTTTTCAAAGCACTCTCTTTCCATTAGCACTCCAGCAGTTTTAAAGCCCTGGATTGCCAGTTCGTTTGGTGATGTCTCCGTGTACTTTTCTGAAGAAATCCTGATGTCTGATGTAGGTAAGCCGGAAGACAATCTATCACGGGTCGTCCCTGGTTCCACAAGCTAGGCGAACCTTTTCTGACTCAAGAATGTAAGAAACAGAATGGGCTATTCTGCATTTAAGCACACTCAAGACTAACACCCCTCCTGGACCACCGGTCAAGCTACTTCCAGGGGGACTGCTAAATTTTGGGGAACACCAAACGTCTGACTACATTTCATCACCAGGTTTTGTCTCATAGCGGCAAACTTATTTTGCCTCAGTTTTCTCCTTTGGTCACATCACCCCACAGTAGGATCCCCCTTCCCTGTGGCATTTCCTGAGGAACAGGGCCGGGGCGAGCAAGGCAGCTCGTGCCGTCCCCATGCCGCTGTCTCAGGGACGCTGGAAGGTGAACGGGATCCCGCTGTGCTCCAGTGATCTCCACCTTCTGTAATTCCCCCCACTCAGCTGGCAGGACTGCAACGGGCAGCGTGTTACGGACTGGTGACCTCGACGCTCAGAACCAAGGGGTGTGTTCAATGAAACACATTTATCAGCGGGACTACAGAATGACCACAGAATCTTTGGGTTGGAAGGGACCTAGTCCAGCCGTTTACAGCACCTGGTAACTATTACCGTTTGGAAACTTCCCAACTCTAATGTATTCGTGTATGCATCACGACTCTTGAGTGCATCACAAATACACGCCAGCAGCCTGTCACACAACAGGAACCTGATTGCCAGGACAAAGCCATTAGAGATCTTGTGTCTCTCTTTTGCTGTTTTACAATTAATTGGCTTGTGAAATACAAAAATGGTGAGGAAGGATTTCTCCCATCTCTCCAGCCTCAGCTCCTTTCAGCCCACTTTCCCCCATCTCACTTTCACATGGCGAAGCAGCACGCTTCTGATTCACCTGGGGAATCTCCTCTTTTCACCACTGCACGGGATGGGGCTGATACTTGTTTAGAGGAGACTTCTGCAGCTCTGGTGGCCACAGCCCTGGACGCGGAGCAAACCCCCGCAGGGAGAGCGGGAAGAGAGCAAGACCCTGAACCCCCGACCAGCAACAGCCCTTCCTGCGCAGGGAAGCAGACGCATGCCTACGCAACACCACGTGTGGGGGCAATCGGCGGGGACAGACCCAAGAGCACAAATTTCAGCATACCTTGTCACCCCTTAGTCACCTCTCCCATCAACCAGCCACCCAAAGGGGACAAACCTGGCGCTGCCGCAACCTGCGTTACGGAGACATCACGCAGCAGGCACCTTGTGAAGACGCTCCCCCAAGGGGGCTGTGTGATGGTGGGACACCAGCTGCAGACCACCGCCTTCGAAACCCACCCCAGGCGATGCAAGCAGGGGACTTCGGGCACGTGCGAGGGAAGCGGTGGATCTGTTTGGTTTGCAGCTCACCTGGCAAGGCCTTTGCCCATTTGACCACGTAGACCAGCTGCCTCTCCCCGAGCTCATTCAGGCTGGTCAGCAGGTTGGAGAAGGAGTCCGGCTGGCTGTTGTCGTGGCCGGCACACACCACGCCAGGCTCAATGGCCTCCAGGACGTTGAGGAAAATGGGCTGGCACTCATACCCATCAATGCGCGTCATCACCATCTTGGGAGCTTGCTCCTCTGTGGGGCTGGATGAGCTGGCTGCATCGGCGTCGTCTTGTGTCTTCAGGTTACCCAGCTTCTTCAGCTTGCGGGCTGTGGAAATGACACATTTTAGTGTGAGACTTAAAAAAAAAAAAGCTTGAGGCTTCTTGGCCTCCAGCTCCATCACTTCTATTTACAAGGATAGGGAAACTGATGGCCAGCAGCAGCTAATCCTTCAGCGCATGCTGCCCAGAGAGTGCCCCAGCATCACAGACCTCACCTAAGGCCAAAAGGGAGCACATGCTGCACAAGGAAATCCATTTGCTCATTAACATTATATGGAAAAGAACAAGCATCATTTACATCCTCAGTCATGACCAGTCTCACATTAACTCCCACTTAGAAAAGGAGAGGAAGACCTGGGGAAAAGAGGGAACCGGTGACTCAATTCAAACAACCACTCACATCCAATTACAAAGGGCAGCAGCACAAGCAACTCAGTGGACAATCATGCTCCAGGGAAAAAAAGCCACTGCACTCGGACGCTCAAGGTGACTGTTCCATCCCAGGCCAGAGTGTAAGCGGGATGCACCGAGAGAAAAGCCTTCTCCCTGCCTGGGGCCCCTGCAGCCCCTGCTGCCCCATAACCACGCTCTCCCAGCCGGGTCACTGCTCTACAAATATGTTATGGAAAATATGTTTTGAAAGCTAGCAGACGGTCCCATGGCTGTTTCCCTGGAGTCTCCCCAGCTACCCACTGACGAGGAGAAGGCTCGAGCAGGGGCGGCCTTGGTCTGCTGGCCAGCGACAAGAGGCATGCCGGCAGCACGCGCTGGAGGGGCTGGGACCGCGGGCAGCTGACAACGGTGCCCATGTCGCCGAGAAGAAGTGCCTCTCCTGTGCAGCCAGCTCTTCATTACAGATGCCAGTCTGCTAGCAAGATACGCCAGGAGCTTCAGATGCACGACTTCAGAATTCTTTGCGAGCCAGCATTCACTTAATTTGGTACGTACACGCCGGCGTTCCGCACAGCGCAGGTTGGCAGGCTACTGCCGACAGCCTTCGCCTCCTACCGACTCCAAAACCCCCTAGCTAATTACAGAAAAAAAGATGATCGCTTAATTCAAGCAGAGAATATAACATCAAACCAACTGTCCTCGGGGTTTTGGCTCCTTCATTACATGATACTTATCTCTAATTTCCTTTCAGCTGTAATTAGAAAAATAAGCAGCGAAACATAAAAATGTCAAGTTAAAGTGCAGCTTTGTAAATCAATTCAAAATGTTGATCTTTAAGCAATGTACTTTGGATGATCTACTGCAGGAGCAATTAAGACAGGCTGCTCTGTAAAAAAGGAGGAGAAGAGAGCAAGAAAATTAAGAGAGCGCAACAGGAAAACAGGGCTGCAGTGCAGCGTGACATCCTCCAGCCATCGTCTGCTCGGGTGGCAGGCCAGCCGGAGCACCGAGCCTCCCCTCTGCCACCCCGCCAGAAGGCGCAGGCAGCGCAGGCAGCACCAGGGTCCGGCAGACTCCCAATGCCCTCCTCCCAAGCCCCGGCGAGCCGATGCCCCGGGACAGCTATGGCACCGCTCTCCCTGGAAGCTGCACTGAGGTTTTGTCCCTGACAAGCGGCACAGGAAGAGAGGAGCGCAGAACGTGGATCCCGCGTTTCCAAACAACCTCGCCTGAATTTGGGAAGGAGGTGCTGGGGCTGACTCCACCTGAGGCAGAAACCACATCTCATAGTCCTGCTTGGCACTGGACCTTTAGAGGTGGCGCTGCAGATATGCAAGGAATTAAGCATTATAGTTATTTGGGACAACCGTGGGAGTCCTGCTAGGACAGAAAAGCTCCCAGGCTTAAAAGAAGAAATAAAAACTGAACCGCATCTTCCAAAGATGAATAATCAGTGCCCGTCAGGTCCTGTGCTTAAATGGAGCCAAACCCACGCAGTATAAAACACAGACATGGTTTGGTTTGAGTGTTAACTTTTCTTTCTTAAAATTGAATTATCTAGTACTAAAAGACATTGAGCCAAGTAAGACGAGAGCAAGCAGCCAACCGTGCTGGCTCTGAGACTGCAGCCGTAAACCAAACCCCTCTGTGTTGGAGAGCAGGGAAGGCGAGTGGTGACTGCTCTTAGCAGAGGAGCCCCACGGCTGCGCTCTGCAGGAGCAGCTGTTTCACACATCACCGAAATACTCATCTTACTAGATGGAGAAAAGCTTCAGAGGTGAAGAGTAGCTTATGTTCAGAATGTTATGTGCAAAAACCCTTTGTGGTGGTAGCTCCTACTCAGCCGCTACCAGGAACAAAACCAGAAATTAAAAAAATAGAGATTAAATACATCTGTTATACCTTTTTTTTCTGGGATGAGCTAAGCTAGGCAGAAGTCTAGACTGCACTTCTCCAAACCAAGGTGGGATGAACCCCGGCACGCGTGACTGAGAACACGCGGCTCGCCGGCTCGGCTGTTAGCGGGGTCGATAGCACCCGGGAAGGCTCGGAAAGCAGCGCAGCCCCTAGGTCACAGCGTCTGCACTTCGCCTTGGGCTTACCCGAGAAAACTGCATACGTATGTGGGAAAAAAGCTTAAAGGATGTAATTATATGGTATCATGATAAAATATTCACCAATGCAAGAATCCCTAGGGAGCACGCTGCAGAGCAATTCTAGAAGTGACACACATTTTAAGCAACTTAACCTGCCCGCCCTCGACCAGCCGTTCCTGAAGTCGGCGATGGAGAGCTCTGGGCTCCAGCACAGATTTTGCACAAGTGCTGGGACTCGGGGAAGTTCTGGGGACCTGCAAGAAAACTGCTTTTGCACTAGCGGTGAGAGGGAAACCCTGCCAGCCCCAGGCACTACACGTGGATTTCAGCTGTGGGTGAAATGTCAGAGAAGCTGGAACAGGACTTGACTTACATCCTGTTCTTCAAATTTTTTATTAACATCTACCAACATATGACTTGTCAAAACCAGATCCTGTCAAGCTATCGATCTTTTCTGGCATGATAATTTTAGTTGATAATTGTAATAGTATTGGTATAGCAGACACGTTTAAGAGATCTGAGTCAGTCTGGCCCACATGAATTAAAAAAACTTGAATGATGTAAAATCAGACAGTACCGCCAAATGATTTTATATCACCCAGGTGATACATCTCTAAAGTAATTCCAAACACTGAAACAACAGCAGACAGGTTTGTTTCTTATGAGGGTTGTTCATGGCCCTTTGCTAGTGAATGTCTATATATTCATTCAAAAAATTAAATTAACCATTTCTAGTAAAAAAAAAATCTGTATGACAATGCATAGATGGGAAAACAGTAACGAATGTTAAGGACTGATCATTGAACAGATTGATCAAGGTCTGTTGACAAGCTCAGTCTATTAAAGCAAAGTATGTTTCCCTGTAAGTAGAAGTATCAAGCAACCGAAGCAGCGAGCCGTATTCAACGAATGCCAGACACCATCCTCGCAGCCTGAACCGGCACCAAAAGCTGACGGACAAACACAGCGGCCTGAGCTGGCAGGATGGCCCAGCGGACACAGGACTAACAGGACCCCGTGCCGCGCGAGGGAGGAAACCCCTGGGCTGGAGAGCATCTCGCGCCGCCTGTGAGCACTGATGCTGCTGACACAGGGAAACCCCGATTAGGTGCTCACTGTAGAAGGGAGGCGTTCGCAAACGGCAGAAGCCATAAGAACAGTAAAGACTAGGCAATGCACCTCGGAGCAAGGAAGCATTTTCCCGAGGTGGCTATGCAGAAGGCAAAAGGGTTATTAAATCACAGCCAACAGATACCCACGGTGGGGACAGATATTCAATAGAAGTAGTTTTTTCAATCTAGCAAGCAAAGTAATAAAGACCCAGCTGCTGGAAATCAAGAACAGACAAGATGAAAAATAAGGTACATCTACCACAATGCTGAATGTAATTAACTACTGCAAGTGCGTGGCAAAAAATGTGTTAGGCTCTCCGCTGCTGGAAATGCTTACACCAACACCAAATGTTTTTATAAGACACGAGCTCTACTTTAACCACGGCCACTGGACCTAATTAGGACTAAATACAGGTATGACTCACGCCTTAGGCTTTTACAGGCTATCAGCAATTACTACAGCAGTTTTCTAGCCCTACCATCAGCGAAATGAGCTGAGTTTTATGTGTTTGGGAGGTTTCGCCCCCAGACGGGACCCACGGGAGCGCAGAGGCTGGAGGTGCACCGCAGACATCCCGCAGCGCAGGCAGGCTGCCAGCTTCGCTCGGTTCTCCCAGCAGGACCAGCCTCCGGGGCCTGGCACGCCAGCGTTAAAACGCACTGGCAGCCAACGAACCGGAGGTGCCTGAAGCGCGGAGCCCC